TCTCCCAACATGTTGGAATGAAATAAATTTTTTCAAGTACATTTAGGTAGCATAAGCAGTACTATCATAACATTTATTAAAAGAGGTGTATTTTGCTCCTGTATGAGAATTCAGCTGGAGTTTTCCTGAAAAGCACCTTTCAGATCTTCAGAAACAGTGATCGGACTTTGCTATTTTGATGTGTGTGTTTTGCAAGCAGATTCAGTTACTCTAAGTCTTCTGCAACAGTAAATTCCCATTTGCCCATTTTTATTTTATAATAAATCCTTGCTTTCAGAAAGGGTCTTTGGAGGGACAATATGCTAAAGCCAAGTCCTGACCAACACAGGGAAAGACAAGACATTCCGCTTGTTGGCATAGAGAGCAAAATGACCAATGAAGTGTAGCAGTTGCTCTATCACCCAGATGTTACTTGCAAAACTATGTATACAATGTTCACATCCTGAGGGAGGCTGATGTATAAACGTGACAACACAGATTGTTCTATCATATAAACATATAAATCCTTGTCTTCCAATGTCATCATCACTGATAACGTTATATAAGGGATAAAATAGGCTATATTTGTCATCTTTTTGTTCGCTGTAACTACATATCTAAGACAAGTTTTTTTATTGCCTTTTATTGTTTTGGAGGGTCAGCATCCCAGATTGGGCTGTCCCCATTGGTTTGGCCACTTGCTGAGGATGGAGAATAGCAAAGGTAGAGTATGTACAGAAGAATGAACACACAGTGAGCCAGGAAGGAGAGGGAGAGGCTAGACCCAACTCAGCTGTCAAAGTCAACCCTCTGATAATAACTCAGATGTTCCAAGGTCTTCCTACTTGGCTCACCTACCTAACATTGTAATTGGCTTAAGTTTCTACCTTTCTTTGTGCCACCAAATTATAATATTAGGACTTAAATATCTACAGGCAATTGGAAGTTACATCCCATTCTAACAACCACTTTCTGCCCCTGGCTCTCAAAAACGCAAGTCCTTCTTGTGGGGAGCAACTCGGACTAGACTAAGTTACTGGAATTAAGACTTATTCTATGCATCTGCTTTCCCACAATATGGCACTGGGAGAGGAGTAAACAGCTTCTACACAGCTGCCTCCAGTTCGACCAGTAACCTGCAGGAGCTGATCCTGCTCCTGATTGGAGGAGAGCAGCGTACTCGGCGTGTGGGTAGCAGAGTTGGGATTGGCGGAAGAGGACTATAAAGGAGGAGAGAGACGGCATGCACGAGGAACATCTAAGGGGAACACCTGAGGAACATCTGAGCAACCCCCGAGAGAGCCAGCCGGCGGTGTGCCACTCCCCCGTGGAAGTGGCAGGGGGCACCGCCCTTCCACGGAAGTGGAAGGGACGGTAGCCAACCCGGGAAGAACCAGCAGCAAACCCGGGGAGGGCCGAGCAGACAAAAGAACAACGCAGGGTCCTGTGTCGTTCCTCCATGAAGAGGGGGAGCGACATAATGGTGCCGTGACTTGGATAGGAAACTTAGGAGGCATAATGGTGCCGTGACTTGGATAGGAAACCTAGGAGGGAAGAAACGGGAAGAAGTGGGAAAATACTGGAGAGAGACTAGGGAAGAGCCTAGGGAAAAGGCGGACAGAAAAAGTGCCGGAAGAAGTTAGGATTGAAAGCGAAAGTGAAAGCTGGAAGAAACTTAGACTCGGATACGGACTGTTGGGAGAAGCCAGGAGAAATGAGAGGGGAATATTGTTGGAAGAAAAGTTAGGAAACATACCGGGTAGAGAAAAATGTTAGGGAAAATGAAGCCACGGGGGCAGGCTGAGGCGGAGACGAAAGCTAGGTTGGGATTCGTCAAGTCAGCCTGGGGAACAAAAGGCGAAAATCTAAAACCAGAGGCGGAGATGTAAGCCAGGTTGGAATCCATCAGATTAGCCCGGGGAGCAAAAGACGGGAAGCCAAACCGGGAGCAGAGACGTAGGCTAGGTTGGATTTCGCCAGGTTAGCCTGGGGAACTTAGACTGAAAACCAAGAAGCTGAAATGTGAGCTAGGCTGTGTGATTCGCGGAAGCCACCGTGCGCAGAGAGAGCGCGCTGGGCATGAATAGATAGGAAGTGCGGGGCTGGCACGGGGCCGTGGTGCGGGCGCGAAGGGGCGCGGAGACCGCAGAGCGTGCGCGAAGCCGGGGAAGCCGCGCAGATGAGAAGCGGGGGCTGAAGCGGCGCAGAGCCAGGAAGCCGCCGCGGGGCGAGGCGCCGAGAAGCAGCCTCGGGGCAGGCGCCGGGAAGCCGCGGGGATAAGAGAAACAGAAGTTTAGAAGTAAAATGAGAGAAATAGGAATGCTGGCAGATAGAAGTAAAATAGGAGAGATAGGAATGCCCGGAGATAGAGAAATAGAGAAAAATAAGGCCTCCCCACAACATGGCAATGAGAGGGCTTGGATTCGGTCTGCCTGATTAGTGAGGCGATAAGCACCTGCAGGCAGAGTATGAGCCGCAGGTCACCAAAGATAGGCATGAATCAACATCAATAAGTCTCCCCACAATACGGCAATGAGAGGGCTTGGATTCGGTCTGCCTGATTAGTAAGACGATAAGCACCTGTGGGCAGCTGCAGGTCACTGAAGACAGGCATGAATTAACATCAATAAGTCTCCCCACAATACGGCAATGAGAGGGCTTAGATTCAGTTTGCCTGATTGGTAGGGCTTGTAAGCACCTGCAGGCAGTTCTAGCAGAGCAGAGCATGCGCTGCAGGGCACCGAACACTGGCACGCATCAGCGCCTAAAAATCTCCTCACAACATGGCGAAGAGAGTACCCGGATTCGGTTTGCCTGATTGGTAGGGCTTGTAAGCACCTGTGGGCAACTCCAGCAAGCAGAGCAGAGTGTGTGCCGCGGGGCACCGAAGACAGGCGCGTATCATCGCCAAAAATAAAAAGAAAGGGGGAATTGTGGGGAGCAACTCGGACTAGACTAAGTTACTGGAATTAAGACTTATTCTATGCATCTGCTTTCCCACAATATGGCACTGGGAGAGGAGTAAACAGCTTCTACACAGCTGCCTCCAGTTCGACCAGTAACCTGCAGGAGCTGATCCTGCTCCTGATTGGAGGAGAGCAGCGTACTCGGCGTGTGGGTAGCAGAGTTGGGATTGGCGGAAGAGGACTATAAAGGAGGAGAGAGACGGCATGCACGAGGAACATCTAAGGGGAACACCTGAGGAACATCTGAGCAACCCCCGAGAGAGCCGGCCGGCAGTGTGCCACTCCCCCGCGGAAGTGGGGAAAGTGGCAGGGGGCACCGCCCTTCCACGGAGGTGGAAGGGACGGTAGCCAACCCGGGAAGAACCAGCAGCAAACCTGGGGAGGGCCGAGCAGACAAAAGAACAACGCAGGGTCCTGTGTCATTCCTCCACGAAGAGGGGGAGCGACACTTCTCACATACAATCATTCCCTTCTCTATAGTTCCAAAGTCATAACTCAGTCCAACGTTAATTCTGAAGTTTCAAATCCAAAATTATATCTGAGACTCAAGGCAAACTCCCCAGCTATGAGGTTTTGTGCAAGCAAAAGCAAGTTACATACTTGGGTGTTACAGGTCATGATACACATTTTCATTCTGAAAAAGGTCATAGCAATAATAGGACCAAGACAAGAGCAAATCCTACGAGATTAAATGTTACATCTTGAAATTTCATGTTCAAAAATCCTAGCTACATGGTGATGGGTGTAGTGACACACACACACACACACACACACACCCAGCCCTGTGATTTGGGGGGTTGTGATTTGCCATTTCTCACAGTTGAAATCCTGTATCTGCAGCTCTATTAGGCATTTCCCCGGTGGGGATTTGCTGCAACAGTTCCAACGCTACCTTTTGGCTTGGCATTACCTTATTGGGGGCTGTCTACAGTGGGTCCACCCTGCTGCAGGGCTTGCCCAGGCCTCCAGGTTACCCAAAACATCCTTTGAAATCTAGGTGGAGGCCTCCATACTTCTATGGCTGTCTTGGTTACTGCCCAGGTGGCTGTTCTCCAAGGTCACCCTCAGATACATGCGACTTTCCCAGGCAGGTGCACATTGCTGGTTGATTTACCTCCCAAGAACAGTCATACCAACTTCAGTCACATAAGTTCATTACACAACACCTCATCAGGGACTCTATTCAGGGCCTCCAACCCTATGGTACAACTGCCTGGTCTCCCAGCCTTTTTTTGAAATTACAGTGGACACCACCAGGACCTCATAACTCTTACATTCCGCATGCACCAAAAAATCAGTCTCACACTGACAACATCCAGGTGTGCTCTTAGCACAAACCATACTTGGGCCTACTTGAATAAAGGCTACAGCCAGCTGGATGCAGGGAAAGGAATTCTGCAGTGTCCTTGGGTGAGCTTGAACCTGCTCCCATGAACTCTTCCAAAATCTGCCAGTAAACCAATTCTAAAGCAGCAGCTACATTTTTAGACATAGTTATAGATGTCACTCCATTCCTCAGTACCAATTTTCTGTATCAGATTTCCATCACTATCAGGAAGTTCCTACTTATGAAAGAAAGAAGCTTATTTTGGTCCACAGTTTTGGAGGTTCGCAGTACAAGATCACGTCAGCCACATTGTTTCGTCTGCCAGTGAGGTTAAAGATGGCAAAGTTGGAGAATGTGCAGGGGAAAGATCGCATGGCCAGCTAGGAATCAGAGACCGTGGCTGACCTGAGTCAGGTTTTCTAACCAACCCACTCATGTGAACCATATGTGGAGAATCTCCCACCACTCCCACTTCCCAAACACCGTAACTGCATTTTTTTCCAAACTTCTTAGTACTATCAATTTATGACTTTGGGGGTTAAATTTTTGCATGTGTTGAGAGCTGTATTTTATTCAAACCGCAGCATAAGCATTGTAAATGGTAAATCCCAACATGCTTTTCTGTTTTGCCTTTGTTCCTTTTCTTCTAAGTATTTCACTTATCCTGAAGCAAAAACATGAATTTAGAAAGCATATAGGACTTGACATAGGATGAAAAGACCATTTACCTGTCTATGATGGCGCACATGTCAATGCTGACATTTGCAAAACTTCCCGGCTTTCTTTGTGCTACTTCGTATAAATTTACAAGTTGATCATCCACTTGAATGAGCTGCATGCATCCTTGGAATGAGGGCTGAAGAACAGAGTGACTGGAGTTATTCATCTGGTTCAGAAAACCTGTGAAACAGAAGAAATGGGAATTTTCAACTCTGTGTACAGCAGGCTTCAGTAATATTCTCATAGGTATTTTGTATTGCTACAGCCATCATATCCAACTACTGTGTTTCTTCTACCTTTGCTGATGTCATTCAGTGTAGAAGAGTGAAGTCTTTTGTGGATGTGAGATTATTTCAGGGGAAGATGTCAGTGTTGAACTGTAATGGGTTATCAGGTTACTATCTGTCTCTGGGGTCTAATGTCATTGCAATTTTCTCTTTTGACATCTTTTCCACTTGGTCATCTCTCTCTCTGCTGTTGAAGGCTCCCTGTTACACATTCTTATCTGAGCTGCTTTTAGAGATTAGGACAATAAAATTTAGATTTTTCTCAGCTATTCAACTTCCTTTCTCTTACACCTTCAATATTTATTGTCTTAAAAGGTCAAGATGCCTGTTATTCAGATATCAAGAAGTTAAATTTACTATGATCAATTAAAGTAAATTTCTGTGTGGATCAATGCTTAACTTAATCCAAATAGAATTTTGCATTACAAATGATTTCTCAAAACATAAAATTCAAAAGACTATTTGAAGAAATAAATTTAGGGATAAGGGTTGGCCACTAAGATTAAAAAAAAATAGATCAAAGGGCCAGCACTGTGACACAGCAGGTTAAAGCCCCGGCATGCAGTACTGGCATCCCATATGGATGCTGGTGCAAGCCCTGGCTGCTCCAATTCTGATTCAGCTCCCTGCTAATGTACCTGGGGAAGCAGTGGAGGATAACCCAAGTCCTTGGGCACCTGCACCCATGTGGGAGACCCAAAAGAAGCTCCTGGCTTCTGGCTTCAGATAGGCTCAGCTTCAGCCTTTGCTGCCATCTGAGGTGTGAACCAGCAGATGGAAGACTTCTCTGTCTCTGTCTCTATCTCTATCTGTAATTCTGCCTTGCAAGTAAATAAATCAATCTTTAAAAAATATATCAAACCACTGTGTTTATTGACTTTTACTTTATTTGAAAGTCAGAGAGAGAAAGAGTAAGAGAGAGATAGAGAAGAGAAATTCCATCCATGGGTTCACACCCCAAATGCCTGCAAGAATTGTTCAGGCCAAAGTTAGGAATCAGGAAACCAGGTCTCTCATACGGTTAGCAGGGTCCCAAGTACTTGAATCATTGCTTGCTGTCTCATAGGGCGTGAGAGGCAGGAAATTGGATCAGATCCATAACACTGGATTTAAAATAAATCAATATATCTTAAAAACAAAACAGAAATTAGACATTAAGTGATTTTTACAAACTTACTCTTTGACTAGTGACAGTAGTTTTGAATAACATAAATCTTTCTGCCTTTGTCAATGGGTTACAATGTCTAGTAACTGTCACTTGAATCTCCTTTGAGGGTCAATTATAGTTGCGCATATTCTTTTCCATCAATATAGTGCTACATAAAGGTAGAATTATATTTAAATTAATTTCTTGATTTAAAAATATCAAGTGGCTCTACTTCAATGTCAGTTTAAGGTTTGTGTATGTGCACACACATGTATGTATTTTTTCTGTAAGTCACACTTTTTCATTTGCATTGACTTAGTCCCATCAGAAAAATGCTGATTTTAGATAAGCAGTTTATTTAGACTAGTTGTGTGCATACATATGATTTTCAATTGTTTAATCAAGGCAAAATTGAATGGGGCTTAATGTCTAAACTTGGCAGACAGAAAATACCCAGCTGTAACTTTATTGACCATTTTTAACAGACTATCATTTTGTTCTGTATTTTTGAACATTTGAGAGTCTCTAAATATTCACACTAGCTTTGAGAGATTTCAAATCGCTTCGATCTATTTGTGAGAATAAGAACTTCTCTAAGGCAAAGCAGCTGCATAAACACCAATCACTATGAATTGCATATAATTAACTTCATAGCACAAGACATCAGTCACTCATAACAATGTTCTGTTTGGTCTTGATAGTGTTGAAGTTAGAGACTGTCAAGTCCTTTCATTTTCCTACAAGGGATATATTCTAGAAGATAATTATATGACAAAATGGTACATATCCATTGAAATGTAATTTTCCTCTTTCTTTGCCTTATCTGAAAAGTTTCCAAGAAGAAGCCCATTATCTTGCCTCCTGGTATTCATACTCTGTGGGAGTCTCCTTCCCTCTTCTATTAGGGTTGGCTTCTGTGGACTTCAGAAAACTGTACAAGTGGTAGTAATGTGTGACTGCCAAGGTTAGCTTCCAACTTGGTCTCCAAGAAGCTCACTTTATGGAAAGTCACTGCTGAGCCATGATCAGTCTTATGGAGAGGCCCATGAGAGTTAACAAATGATCATAAGGGTTCTAAGTTAATTTAGGCGACAATTTGTTATGTAGCAGTAGATACATGTAAGTTAGTACTGGGAGAGAATTACAACAAACACCAACCAACGTGGCAGTGACATATAGACTGGGATATGCAAACAAATTGGATAAGCCTAAAAGAACTATTGACCAGAAGCCTAATGGTTCTTGAGGAGGCTGTAGGTAATTGCGTAAAGGAAGCTCAGGAAAATGTTATCGTAGATTGGAGAAAATTGGATCCATTTTATGTTGTGGTAGAAAGTATATCAACGTTCTGTGATAATGCAGAAAGGAAAAATACACACTTACTGATTCATATAAATAGCTGGGTAAATTTCTGGGCAGGGTATTGAAGATGCTAGCTAGCGTTTTATTTCTATTAGTAGTAAGAGTCAAACAAGATAAAAATCAAAGAAGTACTGTTAAATATGAAGAGATAAGAACTTGATGGATTTGAAATCAAGTGTTTTCTTAATTCTAGTCCATTCATGGAATGAGTGATACAAAAATTAACTTCCAGGCCAATCAGATACTGGGAAAACCCTGGCTAAAGATGATAACTACAACTGTAAATTCAAGTTAAGGACTCAGAAATATATTAGGTCATGTATCACAGAACCATTGGGGGAGAACAAAACTCTAAGTGAACTTCAGCTTCTCTTAAACAATAGAGGTTCTAACAAACTTAAGGGCATGATCCCTCAGGAGGTGAGGAGAGGCTCAGGGGAAAAGCTTATCCTTATGAGATCATGGGTGTGTCTTTTTCTGAATGGAGTAAACCTGAGTATTTGTAGGAAACATGCCCTTTTTAAAGAGAACTCTCTTGGAGGGATCACCGCCAGCTCTTAATCACTCAATGGGATGTAATGGTGCAAAATAAAAGGAGGTTACAATCCTATGAACAGTAAATGATGCAGCTACAAAGAAGGAAGACTCAGAGAGCCAAAAATGAGCATGCGGAGAGTTGAACCCAGAGTCATGGAGAATCATTTCCAGAAAACAGCAGGGCTGAGTCAACAAAGATGCACCAATACGTGCCCACTGGATTTCTCTCTCTTTTTTTTTTTTTTTTTCTTTTGACAGGCAGAGTGGACAGTGAGAGAGAGAGACAGAGAGAAAGGTCTTCCTTTGCCCTTGGTTCACCCTCCAATGGCCGCCATGGCCGGCGCACTGTGGCCGGCGCACCGCGCTGATCCGAAGCCAGGAGCCAGGTGCTTCTCCTGGTCTCCCATGGGGTGCAGAGCCCAAGCACTTGGGCCATCCTCCACTGCACTCCCGGGCCACAGCAGAGAGCTGGCCTGGAAGGGAGGCAACTGGCAAAGAATCCGGCGCCCCGACCAGGACTAGAACCCGGTGTGCCGGCACCTCAAGGCGGAGGATTAGCCTACTGAGCCGCAGCGCCGGCCGCCCACTGGATTTCAGAGCTGCTATGGGCCTGCGATTTCTTTGAGCTGCTGTTGTTTTGCCCATTTTTGAACAAAAGAATTTACATTGGTTTCTATGTTCATATCCTTCCATTATGCATTGGGTTTGCAGGTGATGTAAAACTTCAAAAGCCTCCATATAGAGAAAAATACTTGATGAGTTGTATGTGAGTAAATGTAACCCAACTGCTCCAACTCTATGAGCATTTAATTCTGATCTGGTTCGGCTTAGATGATGAGTTCCAGAATTCTGAGTAGATGCTGTAATGAAATGTAACTTTGGAGGGGTTTGGAAGGCAACAAGGATATTTTTTGTGTGAAAAAGACAAGAAGCTTTGGGGGATAGATGACAAACGCTTGTAATCAACCTCCAACATGGCAGTAAATCTTCATGTTGAAATGTTAAAGACTCCTATTATTTATGGCCTTATTTAGTGATCTTCCCCAACAAACCAGCGCTGACCCGTGTGACCAGTAGAATCCTGCAGAGGTGATGGTGTAATGTGACTGCTATGACTAAGAAATAAAGACATTAGGGCTTACATTTTCATATTGGAAAGCCAGCTCCCATGCCATAGGACTCTCAAGTGAAGCAGTGCTAAATGAAGCACTGGCGGTCAGCAGCCTCTTGCCAGCCCCGTGACTAAGCTACCTCGAAGCAGGGCTCCTAGAGAGGCCTTCAATGCTCGCGGCCCCGGAAACACAGAACTACAGCCTCATGAGGAGCTGGATCTGCTCCACCGAGCTGCTCTTGAATTACTAGTCTCCTTCAGAAAACTAGTCTCTCACAGAAAAGTGAAAGACAATAGATGATTCCTGTGTCAAGTCAGTGTGTTTCGATCAATTCATTCTACAGTGATAGATAATACAGATTTTAAGGAATGAAATCATGCTTTGCTTTCTCAAATAGTCTTTACAAAATACACACCTTGACTTATTCCTAGACAAGGTGACTAGTGCAAAGGTATGATTTCCTTACAGTCAAGAATGAGTTAAAGATTTAGGGGCTCTAATACTGAAATGTCTGGGTCTCTGCCACCTTTTGAAAACAGAGAATATAATATTTGCTTGCTGTGTTTGTTTCTTTTATGGATGAATACTATTTCAGTAAAAATACTATTGTGTCCAAAAAAAATATGATTGTGTCCCTGCCCATCACATTGTGACTACTTCAAAGCCCTGGATTTAACCTCCTTAGTAGATTAAATGTGGAACTGTTCTGAGAAAAAAAAAATTGCAGCTGAGATT